TTTATAGAAGTATTTTAAACTCATATGTTAAATAAGGGCTTTTCTTGTTGTTGTATGTTTGTTTTATTCATTTTAATGAGAAAGATACAATAGAAATGAAACAGTTTCAAAATAGGTTAGTAGGACAGTTACAATAATTAATACATTACATATTGTCTTTGTAGTAGTTATTCAGAAGATAAGTTTGAAACATAATATCTTGTCTAAACAATTCTCAGTGAACTAAGAGAAAGTAGCTCTATATCTATGTAGCTCTATATCTATCCTAACTCTCGTGTGTGTGTGTGTGTGTGTGTGTGTGTGTGTGTGTATTTCCTTGCCCCTTTTTTTCCTCAACAAAACTGTCCTTTATTTACACTTTTGTGAAGTTAGTAACACATGACACCAGGTTGCCTAGCAGCTGGTAGCTAGCCTTAACCAGGCAGGATGTCCATCTCAGGAATGAGGTAACTTTTTTGCTTTAGGCTCTGGGCTAAATCCCACCTACACATATTTGATCATTTTTTTTTTTAAAAAAGAAGGTAATAAAAGAAAACAGACAAAAATAGGGCTTTTTAGCCTCCTTATAAATCAAGAGTACTAAGAGCCAGCCCTGTAGTGCCTGCCTTTAATTGAAGCTCTCTGGGAGGCTGAGGCAGGAGGATCACAAGTTCAAGACAAGACTGAGAAAATGAGTAATTGAGACCTTGTCTCAAAAACAAAAACATAAAGGGGGCCAGGGTACAACTCAGGGCAAAGGCCCCAGGCTAGTACCAAAAAGAAAAATGATGTCACTACCCAGGAACATATTTCTTGTCCATCCAAGTCCTCGCAACACTTTCAGGAACATTTCACCATTTTTTTAAAAAGTAGGCTCTATTTTGTATTGATATTTCAAGAGATTCTGTGTTTTTCTTTCTTGTTTGGCTGTTGTTTCATGACATGTGTCTATTGTGTGGGTTCCAGTTTAAATGTACACAGCTTTCAAATTTCCTACGTATAAGCTATCTCTCTTCTTTCTGTCCCTTGTTCCATCTCTTTCCCATCATATGCCACCCCCTAGATGTCTTTGGAGGACAATTCCATTTCCTGACCAACTTCATAAGGGCTGCTCTTCTTTCTCTGACCCATTCTATCCCTGACCAATTTCCTAACATTGTAAATCATGAACAATTACCATGGCTGCCAGCCAAAGACATGCAATGAGAAGAGGTCTGAGAAAGACTTTTAGCATGTGCAGGATGGATGGATTGGGGAGAAGGAGAGCTAGGGTGCATGACCCAGTGGCGAATGCTGGAAGGGACTGCATGCTGGCCGGTCAGGCTCTTGGTGGAGGTGGCAGGCATGAAGGAAGAGGAATGGGCAGAAAAGGCTTCGTGAAAGAGGTACAGATGGGGCTGGCAAGATAGCTGAGCAGACTAAGCACCTGCTTAGGCAAGTGCAGGGACTGCTGTTTGATCCCCGGAACTATGTACTGCATCATCCCACTCCTGGGCACATTGAGTCAGCCATTGAGGCTGGGTATGGTGGTGCACACCTGTAACCCAGCACTGGGGAAGCTGAAAAAAGGAGGATCACTATGAGTGTAAGCTGCATAGCGATGCCCTGTACCATATGCATTAAATAAATAAAGGGAGGGCAGACAGTAGCTGCACTGTCATGGAGCCATGTGGAGCCTTAGTGAATTCATTATAGCCTGTGTGGGCTTGATCCAGAAGGACAAATGGATCAGAGCTGATGGCCGCTCATTCTTGGACAGGGGCGTGTGCTCCCAGGCATGGAGAGCTGTGTCTCACTCTTGCAGGTCCAGCGCCAGTCTCTTGTGGGAGGGACAGAAGGGCTGCACAGTTCCGCACGACCTACTCCCTCACCTAGGGCACTCACCTAGGGCAACACTGACCAACAGATACTTGAGTGTTCATAGCATCAGGTGGAGGTTTGCTTACATTATCAAGAATGATGCTTAAAACACCACTTGGCCAAAATCTAAGGATTCAATAATTCAATTTCAGATGTTTCTTTAGGTTTTTTTTCTTCATGCTGTGTTCGGACATGCTTGGAAGCTATACAGGGATCTGTGGGGACAGCTTTCTTAGTGTCTCACCTTGCCCAGAAGTTTGCCTGTCACTGGTTTACAGAGGAGTGTGTGGGAATGTACATTACTGACAGGGCTGAACTGTTAAGGAAGGGACCTCAGGCATGTCAGGGGCAGTCACCATGTAGGTTTTTGTGTGGGTCATTTGCCACACATGGACACAAGCTGCCGGATCAGGCGCTGAAATCCGAGTGGCGCTTCTCCCATGCTGTCTGTGGGCAGCTGTTTGTCGTGGGGCTCTGTCTCCCAGAGGGAGCTTCATTTCTGTTCCACACAAAGGCTCCAGCTGGGCTGGCCAGGCCTGCATAGGCACTGTCCTGGCTCCTGGAGTGACAGGACTGTGAGTGAGAGCGAGGCACTAGCATGTCCTTATACACACAAGAGCTCTGCAGCTGCACCTTCACACCCTGCATCCACATTCTTGGCAGGAATAAGGAGAAGGGCAAAGTGTCTCTCCCCTTTTAGTCAAGAACATAAAAGCCAGAACTGAGCCACAGTGCTAGTTCTAGATACAAAGTGTCTAGCAAGGTAACTTTTACACTGATTCAGTGCCAGCATCCTGAGAATAATTGGGGTCCTGTTGGTGATGCGGGGAGAAAGAATGATGAGGTGGGTTCCCCTACAGAGCCCAGAGAGGCAGGCACAGCTGCACCCCACGGTGGGCTCGGCAGTGTCTAACATCTCTCTGTGGGGTTGGGCCTATATTTAGCATGTTGTCAAATCTTTCTTATTTCTTCTTAGTATTCTGCATAAAGCATGCTATTTGAAATTAGATTTGAAAGCTAAGTTAATTTTCAGGAGCTCTTCCTAGTTTATTTGGTTAAATCTAGAGAAGACAAAGCCTGCCCTGCAAAGCACGGAAGTATCTATGCCACATGTCCCTCAGAGCCATCCCCCTGTTCAAGCTGATGACCACACCCATAGGCATCACTGATCCTGGCCACCAGGCTCCAAAACAGCTGGGATGCTTTCAGTTGTTTTCTTCATGAAAAGAAAAAAAAAAATTGAGTTTATTCCCAAATGCGTATTTAAGGATCTAAAATAGAATTTCAGCAATTAAATTGGGAGGTCCAGGAAGACTTCACTGCATGTTTCTCCCTGCCGGCTCCCTCTGTCTAGTGTTTACCCAGTCTCCAGATGGCTCAGCTGCTCCAGGCCCAGCCAGGTTCCTGCTGCGAGGAGGAGAGTGAGACAGATGGTGAGTGGGGGCCTGTCTGCCGAGTTTGGCTGGAGCCCCCAGCTGACTCGTGTCTCTGCGGTGTGGCCTTGTCACGCCTATGGCATCACCCTGATCCCCGCCAGGTCCCAACAGCCCAGGGAAAGCTGTAGCTTATCTCTTTACCTTCCCCCGGCCTGCAGGTCGTATCACACACATTCTATGGGCCCAGCTCAATGTTAGCTCTTGCCAGCTCTGACCCACTTCACCTGTAGGGGAACTATGGCTGTCCCAGCAATGAACTATCTTACAGAGAGCCCCCGGCCCTGTAGGTGTCTTTCCTTTTAGGGAGCCAATCCACTTTACTGAGCTTTGTCACCCTAGGCAAGAAGCAGGAGAATCACCCTCCCAGCTGTGTTTGCCTCAAGGGAAACCTGAGCGAGAGCAGAGAGCTTGCTGGACCAGATCTCCTTCCATTGTGCCCCATTCCCACCACCACTCCTGTTCTTAACTTCTCGAAAGCTGAAGGAAGATGGGAAGGCAGGAGGGCTATGGCCACAGGTCTTGGTGATCACAAGTGTTGGCTCAGTACCTCATATTCTTTGTCTTAAATACCATAAATGTAGTGGCTTAAACAACAAAACATTTTTTGTGATTCTAGAGGCTAAGAATTGCAAGATAAATGTGTTGGCTCTCTTGGTTCCTTATGAGGACTTTCTTCCTGGCTTTCACATGCCCACCTTCTTGCTGTGCGGTGGAGGAAGAGAGCTGGCTTTCGGGTGTCTTATAAGGACTCTAAACCCACTAGGAGACCCTCGCCCTGGTGACTTCACTTAAACCTAATGGCTTCTAAACACACACCATCACATGGGAATTAAGACTTCAACCTTTGAACATGAGGGGAATACAGACCTTTGGTAACACACACTTACCTAGTTGTGGCTGTATATTAGCCCCAGGAGGCTTTGGAGTGAGAGCAGGCTAGGGTGTGACCTGAGGGGTCCTTAGGTCAGCAGGAGAGCCACACACCCAAGGGCTCACTGCCGATGGCAAGACACCTCTTGTTCCCGGTCCACATCAGTGGCCTCCTCGGTGCTGGCCTTCCCTCATTCCTCTGCACCAGCAACCAGCATGTGGCTTTTCATTCCTCTTGCTTAGATGGGCCTTCTTCTCCTACCCAGTGTGCAGCTACACCCATATCTCAGTGCAGCAGGAAAGGTGGGGGTCCTGTGGTCTAAAGGACATAGGGACGGTGACAAGGCCCTGAGACTTGTCAGCCAGAGTCCTGGAGGGGCTGACAGGGCAGCTGTGCTGGCCTCTTGTCATCAGCACTGCCTTCTCAGTGTGTATACTGACTTCTCTGGGGACACGCCATCTGTCTGGGGGGGTCAACCAAGACTCATTCTGACACCTCACAACCCAGAAAGGAGCCCTGAAAAGTTTTAGTTTTATTTTCACTACTTCTATGGAAAAAGACAGGTTTTTTTTTCTTGTAAAATATCACATTTTTCCCAATTGAAGGAAAATCAATTCTGTTTTGTAATGCGTCTGACTTGTGAAGTTCTGCTGCTGACCCTAGCTTGGCAGCTTCTCAGAGCTCAGTCCTTGACCTCCCTCTTCTGAGCTGAGAGGCAGCCAGTTCTTGCCTGAGCTGAACTGGGCCATTTGTTTCCATCTCTAAATACAGATAGAATTTGCTTTTAATAATGAAGCACAGCGAAGACCTAGGATGATGCATTAATCTCTGATTTTCCTTGTTTTATCACCAAGAAAACTGCTGCAGATGGAAAAAGGCAGGAGATCATTGTTCTAGATTCTAAGAGGAGCAACGCCATCAATATTGGTCTGACAGTGCTGCCCCCTCCAAGAACGATCAAGATTGCCATTTTAAATTTTGATGAATATGCCTTAAACAAAGAGGGAATTGAGGTAAGAGAGCTCTGTCATGCATTGTTTGTGTTTTGTAATCTATCACATGCTTAAAATATTTATTACATTTTTGCATCTAGTATGATTTTCTTCATACGGTCATGATCTTTTTCTGTTCTCAGCCAAATTCTGATTAATGTTAGTAATTCTTATATTTTCACCCTGGGAGGGGAGGTGAGCTTTACTTTATGAGGTTCAAAGATTCTCACTGTTTGGTTCAGGTGTGGGTCTCCTTGCCTATGCTCTGCCTGTCTCAAATCAAAAAAGAAAATTATTCCAACCTCCTGATAAGGGAGATAGGGCCTTCTTTCATATCATTTCATGCACAGTTAGCAAATACTTTCAAATACAGAATTTTTAATAGATGTTCACATCAGTGTAAAGGACCTTCTTTCTCTCTTGGCACTTCCTGGTATACTAGAGAGAGTTGTTGTGTGTTTTTTGAGACAGGGTCTCACTATGCAATTTGGGCTGGTCTTGTGCTCCCTTTTATAATCCCCAGGCTAGTCTTTAACTCACAGAGATACATACTCCTTTCTCAACCTCCTGAGTGCTGGGATTATAGGGATGCACCACCATTCTTGGATCCGGGTATTTGGTTTGTTAACATGGAAAGTCAAGCAACTGATGCTACAGCCCTTGACCTTAAAATTGGAGAAAGACTGGGTGACATGGCTATGGTTGTGTAACTACTAAGTAGACCACCTGGAGCCATGGCTTGCCTGCTAAGAGAAAGGTCATGTTCTTCTTTCTGGTCAACCTTTCCTTCCACCAAAGCTGGTGCCATTTTGGAGCAGATAAAATACCTTATTCTAACACTGGAAGAAAAGTGACCAGAATTAATGGCCAATACAGATTTCTACACAGGAATGGTGTAGCCTGAGGGCCTACCAGGTCACAGTGGGAAATCTGGGGACTTCATGATATTGAGTAACATCCAACCTATCATCCAATCATTCCATGATTGGAGTTCGTACATGCCTAGTCTTCTTGAGCATGGAGGGAGCAAAAGAAGCCTGACTCCAGAGTCACAAAAGTAAGAAATGAGGAAAGGCTTGGGCAGTGGTGCCCGTGTTGGCTGCAGCCCTGTGCAGAAGGGAGTGATGGGCTTGCAGAATGCATTCCTATGCATTCCTATGGAGCTGAGCCCATCAGGCCAGGCCTGCTTTGTGCTTTGGAGAGAAGAGGCCTTTGAGAGAAGACTACTACTAGAAGCTGGTGCTGGGTTAGACAGCATCCCCCTAAGCTTCATGTCCACTCATGATGTGACCTTGTTTGGAAATAGGACTTTATGGGTGTAGTCATGTTAAAGTGAAGTCATACTAGGTTAGGATGGACCCTAAATGTGATAACTGGTATCCTTATAAGAATAGGAACACTTGGAGACAGACACAGAGAAGAGAACATCATGTAGTGATAGAGAATACAGAGGGAGACACACAGGACAGAATGTCCTGGGATGACAGAGGCAGAAATTAGAGCGATGTGTGTATATGCCAGAGAATGCCAAGGGGTGGAGAGGAAACTGGCTGGAGAGGCAGGCAGGTAGCACATCTAGGTGGGCACTGCAGGTGGAAAGAAACATGCAGGTGGCAGCAGGCAGAGCTGAGGAAAGATGTGAGGCAACTGTCTGGCAGTGAGAAGGGGCAGGCCAGGCATCTGTGGGGTAACTCCCCTCCTGGGATCCTCCAGAGAAACACAGGAGAAGGGCAGGGGCCTGCCATTACTGAACCTGGATAAGTTAACTGCAAGACATGTTTTCATTAAAGAGAAACCAGGTAAAGTCCTGGCCATCCTTTTTACTTATTAAGATCCTTTAGAAATTGCAAAAGCTCAGTTTCATGTGTAGGGAGGATTTAAATAGCCAACCTGGTTGAAGGAATTATGACAAGTTCTTTTAAAAGTTCTTTCTCCTCATCAGGAGGAGTTGAAAGTCCATCAGGGAGAGTGTTTCCTTTGGCTTTGGCTTTTGTTCTTTCCTAAAATGTAGTTTTCCCTGCGTGGGGAAAGTTTCAGATACAATAAATTATATAGATTTTTAAATGAACCAGATTATTTTTTCCCTGTCTGACCACTTTCTATTTGGCCACCCTTTAGATCCAGGAAGGAATATCATCAATAGTAGCATCAATGCCAATGAATATAATAAAAATAGGTGCATCACATGTATTCTCCTCAAAAGCTCCCTGTCTTAAAAGTGAAGAAAGCAAATCTCTAAATTATTCTCACAGACCTGTGAGAGGTCCAGTGGAATGTAAGTTCTGTGTCCATAGGATGGGGCTGGCTGGTTGGTCCAGGAGGGACACTTGGGGCTGGGCCATGTGCCACAGAGAACAGAGGGGAGTCGGAAGGAAAGACAGGAGTGTGCACAAGGCCACACAGTGAGCCTCACAGGGCTGCCTGTGGCTCCCCCAGTCCCCTTCCCTCACCCAGGAGTTGCAGATGTAGGAAAGGATTTAAAGTGAGAAGATTCAACCTCAGAAAACACAGATGAGTCCTAACCAAGATGTCATCATGTCATAAGCCCTCATTAAATGCACACTTGGTCACAATAGAACTTGAAGTGACATTTTTATCAGCTTTCCTCTAAAAGCAGGTTTTTTCAAAGTCAACACTGCAAGCTGTTTTTAGTGGGACAGTCTTTGCCTTGAGGTTGTGCTGGGCATTGCAGGATATTCATGAGCATCCCAGGCTTCTACCCACTAGATGTCAACAGCATCTATCCTCCCCTACCTTGACCCATAGCCAAGTGTCCCTAGATATTGTTAAATCCCTCCAGGAAACAAAATCAGGCTGCTTGTGTGAATCCAGATACTATGTCTATCCTTGCACAATTCTTAGCTATGGCTGAGAAGACTTCAGTAGAAACACCCTCTTGGAGAATGTGGAGTCCAGGACAGCATCATCATCTATTATTTCTGGCCATTGATCTCAGGGAGCCGAGGCACATAGAACAGCCAGTAGCTGGAGTTTGTTCGGTAGGCTTGTTGTTCAAGAGTTAAAACAAGTCTGAGGGCAAATGGCAATTGTGAACTTACAGATCTTTGCTAATAAGATTTCCAGCTAATGTCAAAAAGGCCTTGAGCCAAACCATCTGCCTCTTGGATCCATGCACATGGCATGGCAACACAGCTTGATATGGTCATTTAAAAGCTCTGTGCCCCAAATGTAATTAGGATGTATTAAATGACATCCTGTGGCTTTGCCTAGCAACCAGTGGTAGGTACTCAGATTTGTCATGCAAACCTGAGGAAGTAGTTAAATTCATTAAGGAAGTAGTTCTTAGGGATATTAAATTTTAGTGAATTACTTTAGGGCCATCTCTAAAGAGCAAAAATAATATTTTTCTAAATAAAATGTCAACAAATTATCAAAAATAAGAGTTTTCCTCACCCCACCTCCATTTTTAATTTTTAGATTCTGCGTCTACTTTGAGGGTAGCACAATTGCTTGGTCCTGAATGACATTTCTCTTGGCTCAGTTTGGCTGCCAGGCCTGTTGGCATCTGGAAAGAGAAGTTTCCTTTAGCCCTGCATGCAGAACCACAGCATCTTTCTGAGTAGCTTGCGTTGTAAGAGGCCTGTCTGCAAGGCCCCACGTGGGTGCTGGACACATGCAGATGAGCCTGCCTGTGGAGAGGCACAGCTAGCTCAGCGAAGCAAGGCTCTAGGGTACCCTGGCAACTGGATGTGGCTGAGATGTGAATTTAATGCAAAAGTAAATACCCTTGAACAGTAGAGCTGGTGCAGTCCCCAGGGCTGTCCTCCAGCCCTGCCCTGGTGGCTCCAGCCTAGCCTCTCTGGCACATCATTTCATCTGTAACTTTGACACAATACTTTTTATCCCAAAGGGTCTCGATTAATAGAGGCTCACAAGAATGCAGCTGTTATCAGCATGTTTTAAGTACACAGCTAGGGCACCATTTTCCCCCAAGAGAATATGCCAGTTGTATACAAACCAGGCCCAGACCTAAGTTCTTCAACTTTTGACTCTCATCACTAAAATCCTTGCTATAGATTCTTATCGAAAGCTATAGCTGGGACTCCATTCAAAATTGTAAAGCAAAGTAAGTACTTACAATGGTCTTATCTGGAGGTAAATAAGATAACCAAACCTAATAGCACTTAAGTCCATAAAACGATGTTTTTGCAGTTTTCTCTGAAATATAACTTCTGCATTAAAAAGGCAAATGTACTTACAGCAGTATTAAGCGCTTCCTAGGAGGAAGCTGAAGAGACTGAGGTTATCATGCTTTGGTCTGGTTTGATGTTTGGTTTCCTGAGTCACACAATCATTCATAAACCTACTGGCATGGTAGAAGAGTAAGTTACTGTCTTGTACTCGTCCTGTTATCCTTTGTTCATGGAGAAAAGGCCCACTGGCTCACAGGAGGAGGCTTTGACCTACTATTCAACTGTCTTACAGCTGTTTTTACTGTCAGTGATGTGTAAAAAAAAAATCAAATCAAATAAATTGGCAGATAGCAACCTCATAAATCTACAGTGAACAAATGGTTTAAATTAGAGAAATAAAAAACAAAAGTAAAAATGTTTGATTACTTTCTCAAAGGAACAAAGCAACAAAAATCATTGCAGGACAACCCCTTCTGAAGGTTATGAAAGGTGTTTATAAGTTTTTGTTTTGGAATTCTTGTCATGCCGAAGACAATTCAAGCATTTGCAAAATTAAAATACAAATTTAGTTTTTGTTTTGAAAACCAGTCAAAGAAGCAGTATCTTCTTGAATTGTTTTCGTTACTTTTTAGTGCCACCTGTGTGGATGTCAAGGTACGAGCCCAGCAGTGGGCAAGTGACATGTACCATGGCCAAGTCTCTAAAGGTACTCACAAACCCACATAGTCTCAGTGTTGGAAGCCCTGATGGAAAGCGGGTTAGAAGAGGACTTATCTGAACATTTACTCAGGGTCACCCTCTGCAGCCTCAATCTGGCTGCATGATAGAACACACATCTTGTCTGGAGAATGTCACATAAACGGAATCATACAGTGGGTAACATTTTTGGCTCAGTGCAATCCCTTAGAGATTCATATGTATCTATGGGTTTTTCCTTTTATGGCTGAGTACCATTACACTGTAGGGATGTACCACAATTTGTTTTTTCATTTACTGAAGAATATTTAACTGGATCCAGTTTTGAGATGTTATGAATAAAGCTACTACAAATATTTGCACACATAATTTTGTGAGAACAGAAGTTTTCCTTTTTGTAGGGTAAATACTTGGAATATAATTGCAGGGTTATAAAGTAAACCCTGTGTTTAATTTTTTGATGAGCTGCACCTTGTCCTTCATGGTCTTAACAGTGTCTTTCAAAAAGAAAAAGTCTTAATTTGGGCAAAGTTCAGCCCATTAGCTTCATTTTATCTGGTATCAAGTTTAAGAACTGTTTGCCTAGCATGAATTACAAAACTTTTCTCCTTTGTTTTTATTTATTTATTTTGGCAGAACCGGGGATTGAACTCAGGCCCTTGCACTTGCCAGGGAAGTGCTTATTCCACTGAGCCATCTCCCTGGCCAAAGCATATGGCATTACATTTTACTTTCAGACACATCATACATTTTGAATTTGGTTTAAATTTTTTTTTTATCTTCAATATATTTTATTTACCATCTGCATTGAAAATGTCACAAATAACAAAACATTTCCCAAAGTAAAAATTATTAAATAAACTAACAATTATAAAAACAATATTTCAGGGTAAATTTTGTCATTCTTTAATGGCATCAAAAACCTGTTTGTCTACCCTAAATTTCATGTTTAAAACTCTTCTAAGAAAACTAATGTGGTGGAATATGCTTCATTTTTTTGAAAGGTTTAAATTGAGGTTCATTTTTTGCATAAGGAGTCCCGTTGTATTGACATTGTTTATTAAAAATACTACCTTTTATCCACTGAATAGCCTCTGTAGCTTTGTCAAAGTCAATGGACCATGTTTACTGTTCTTAAAGTCATGTTAGCAGGTAGGTATGTATCACTATAAATACCATCATAATTTTTCTTTAGTGAGATTGAGTTTCAGTTATTTAAGTATTGTCAGTTCTATAAGTAGTTAAAACAATTAAAATTGTTTATATCACATGAAACAAAAGTCGATCTAATCTCTTTTTAATTGATTAATTTTATAAGCTCTTAAGTTCATAAGAATTGCTATGAAGTGTATATTCTTGACATGTTTCACCTTATATTCGAAACAAGAAATTGTTCAGTCATCCTGTGCTCCAACTTTCTCTCTTTTCTGTCCTTTCTGGTTAGACTGCCCTTCATGTGTAAGACCAGAAAATTTTGAGCAAGTTGTTTAAAGTGTGTTTGGCTATAATAGTATAAACTTTATGAGATCAGAATACAATAGAATTTTTCTACTGTTTGGTTAGGAAATTATAGTATGTATTTGAAAACACTGAAGGAATAAGATAAAGTCCATTAGGAAGAAAGAGTATATTATATCATTGTCCTATCTTTCCAGAAAATTCTAACCATGATTCCCACTGAAGAGGAAAAGCAGAAGATCCAGGAAGCTCAGCTGGCCAACCCAGAGGTGCCGTTGGGCAGCGCCGAGCAGTTCCTCCTCACGCTCTCCTCTATCAGCGAGCTCTCTGCTCGGCTCCACCTCTGGGCATTCAAAATGGACTATGAAACCACAGAAAAGGTGAGCATTTTTCAGAGAGGCAGGCAGTCGTGTGGCTGCAGTGTGCAAAGGCCAGGGTTTTCACTATAAATATTAAGGTGGTGAAGTATCATTCTTAGCACAGTTTGGAGTACAGTGTAAGTTGACAATGACATTGTGCTAAGAGACAGCAGTCTGCTAGTGAGAAGTGTTCTAAAGTATCTGCTTGGTTTCTGCTTCAGATACTTGGTTAGGGGCTCCAGGGTGACTAATTTTGTGAACATTCAACATTCTTTCAGGCTGTTTTTCTTGTAGAAAATTTTGAAAATACAGAAAATCAGGATACAGAAAATGTTTTGTCATCCCTCTACCTGGGGATGTTCGCCAGGCTGCCCCTGGACCATAACAGTGTGCACTTAGGTACCTTCTGAGAGAATCGCTTCAGTAGAAAACTGAAGATGAAACAGATCTCTAGCAGTTGAGAGGAGACTAGAAGGAAAGACACCACATGAGGAAGGCGTAGGGACTCTGCTGGGAAGTGGAAGGCAGAGGTCTGAATGGCAGCCAGAGGGGAAGGAAAGGAAGAGGCGGGGGTGAGCTGTGGAGGCTGAGTTGAGCAGATGTCTGCTCAACAGGGAGAGTCACACGCCCAGGTTAAAGGCCGTGTGTCTCTATATTCTAGCAAAGGAGGTAGCAAGTTCCTAAACTAAGGGTTGAGTAGGTGGCAGCAAGATTAGGGAGTCTTTGGGGGAGAACTGCAAATTGAGCATCTTGTATGCAAAACTCTGAAACTCAAATGCTCCAAAATCCAAAACCTTTGAGGACCAACATGATGTTACAAGTAAAAATTCCACACCTGACCTCATGTGAGTTCAGAGTTAAAATGCAGACACACTAAACCCATTGCATAGAATTGTCTTCAGCCTGTGTATAAAGGATACATAGTATGTGAAACATCAATATACCTCCAAAATACCACATTGTGTATGTGCATATATTTTAAAATTACACCCCAAAAAATAAAATCTGAAACACATCTAATTCCAACCATTTCATATAGAGGATATGCAACCTGTACAGTATTTAAGCTTAGTAGGGTCAAGCAGTGGTGAAGACACCTGGAACCACTAAGTGACTAGTGTAACTCAGTAGCAAAACCAATCAACACCCTTATGTAATTCTCTTAGCATAGTGACATGACATCCTGAAGGACACAGACAACTGGGCCAGCCTGGGTTAGGTATTGGTGGGGCCAGCTTGCCAGAGTAGCACAGTTGTTGAAGTCTTCGGCTGAACCTCCTGGCCTTGGGATACAGGCGAGCAGAGGGCCCAAGAGTGGTGTGGCATAGAGATTCCAAGTGAGAGGAAAGGAAGGAGTGAGGCCATTGTTCTAGAGAGGAGGGTAGAAGTGTCGGGGGCCTGGACAAGGCCTTCATAGACTGCCTGAGAGGGAGAGGAGGAGACAGAGGTGGTCTGTGGACAGTGAAGCCACAGTTTCTGGAGTCATCTACCTAGAAGGAAAAAGGTACGGGAAGGACTGTGGTCTCTTTGCTGGAGGAGTACAGGAAAAAGGATTGTGATTGTAATCACCCACAGTGGGGAGCGACACTAAGGAGGGGATGACCTGGAGACTTTGCTTGGGCTTAGACAGTGGGCAGCAACAGGACGAGAAGAATATTGATATCCAGTATGAGCTTTGTTTGGCCTCAATCGTGGAGTCTTTATAGAGATTAGACTGCCTGCCATCTTTTGGCTTTTTAGTTTTTTGTGCCCAAGAACAAACGCCTATCACATGAGAGTGCTGTGTGCTAGGGAGAACCATAGTTGTTACTGTCTTATATTGTACAACTTTTTAAAACTACAAGCAAAAATGTATGTTCTTCGCCACCTATTTTTAATTGAAAGGAAGTAGCAGAACCACTTTTGGACCTGAAGGAAGGAATAGACCAGTTGGAGAACAATAAAACCTTGGGCTTTATCCTATCTACTCTTCTAGCCATTGGGAACTTTCTAAATGGAACTAATGTAAGTTTTCCTTGTTTTATTTATTTTGCCTTTCCTTGTGACAAAATCCCTGCCCCCCATTTACTCATGCAAGTTTTACCCTTGATCCCCAAAGCACAGTAGAACGAACAACCTATGTATTCTGTTACAGATAAAGTGGAGGGAATTTTGTCCATAAGATATCAGGGCCCATTAATTTGAATCTGAATTTTGCCATAATTGAGGAAACTTAGAAAAGTAAGCACACTCTTTCTTACAAAGTTATCTCTACTCCCAAATTGAAATTGGAGAATTTTTTTTTTGTGTGTGTGTGTGGAACTGGAGATTGAACGCAGGCCCTTGCACTTGCCAGAGAAGCGCTTATTCCACTGAGTCATTTCCCTGGCCCCCGACAGTGGGGAATTTTTATCTACCCTGTTTGTTGATGTTGTTTCCTGAGCTTGTCACTCAAATATTTGCTTGTACACATCCTGATACTTTTTAAAGAAGCCACCTCGCTGGTATGATTGTTGGCCTGGCTTTGGCCAGAGTACAGCCTGCACCAGGGCAAGGGGAGAGAGAAGCTGCAGGCACATAGGATCCATGGACAGTCCCACAGTACCTGACTGCCCCCTGAGGTGGGGGTGGGACTCAGGGCTGTGTGTGAAAGAAAGGGCTGGAGGCTTGGCTCATTCTCACTAAGGCTGTTCCCCTATTCGGCAAAGGAGTGCAGAGCATGCAGCTTAAGGAACTTCAGCCTCAGGGAAACTAAATATTGGCTACGGGGACCATTCAAACCATCTGTCCCATCCTAAGGACCTACATGAAACTTGGTTTTCTCATCTTTAATCTCCTGTCACCAAACAGGCCAAAGCGTTTGAGTTAAGCTACCTCGAGAAGGTTCCGGAAGTCAAAGACACAGTGCATAAGCAGTCACTTCTCCATCACGTGTGCACCATGGTGGTGGAAAACTTCCCAGACAGCTCTGATCTGTACTCAGAGATTGGGGCCATCACTAGGTCAGCCAAGGTAAGTCTGTGGACACGGAGGAGCAGCCCTGTCTCAGCCTCTGCTGTAGGATCTTTATCCCTCATCTCAAAGGCAAATAGTCTCTTTTAAGTGCAATGTTGAGCCTTGCCTGCATTCCCTATGCTAGAGGTTGTGGATGTATTTTAGCTTGTGCCATGAACTTTTTCCTATCTCTAGTCCTCACTCAGATTCTTTCCTACTGAGGTATGTCAGGCAAGCCTGCCACTGCAGACCTCATTCCTGCATTCACTGTCGGAGTATCACCCTCTCGGCTGGATTCCCCAGAATATTATAGCTACACAGCCTATTTTGGATGGGCTAAGTGTCTGAAAGATGTCATCTGGCTCCTCCTAAGATGCCAAGGACCTTGCAGGGTGGTGTGAAGCCCAAGCCAAGGCATGGGTGGCCCTACTGCCCACACATTGGTTATCTCTGATCTTATGCATAGGGAACATTTTTAGAGGGCTGTAAACAATGTTTAGTGCTGGCCCTTGGCTGCGAGCTCTTAAAGTAAATGCTAAGTTGATATCTTTATGAGTTGCCTGTGGACCCCCGAGACCTGCAGGGTTGGAGGATAATAGAGGTTGAACAATGCCCAGAGGAAACCTGCACAGACCAGAACTGGAGAGATGAAGGCTGTGGAGGGTGCAGAAAACTCACTGGGCTAGAGGCCATCCTTGAACAAGACCCAGAGCTAGGCCAGTGTAAAGGAGCCTCCTGGGAACACAAGGGCTGGGAGTAGGAGCTGGGAGTACTGGGATAGGAGAAAGGAGACAGGGCAGGGCAGAGTGGAAAGGAATAGGGTGGGGGCTCCAAGACGGTCCTTCCAGGAGTTCTCCTTCCGTCAGCCTTCTACTATGGGACTGACGTGGGGACCTGGGGAGGAGGTTTTCTACCTGCTTCAGAAGTCAGTCTAACAGCTGCTAGGGGCACCATTCAGGATGCTAGCTCAGCCTGCAGAGGGCTTCTCAGAACACAGAGCCCTTGATTTAACAGACTCAGCATGTTATTCTGTGACTGGCACTGTTCTTCAGTCCTTATAAGTAGTACTTCAGTGTCCTGACCCAGGGAGAAAGCCCTCTGAATGTTCCAGCAGAGGGCCTCCAGGTGCTGCTCTGACATCCTCTGCACCTCTTCAGCAGGCAGTTTTGTTAAGAATTTCTAAATCAGCCTGGTTGTCTAGATCCCCTTCATTCAGAGTTGCCTAGAACAACCAGTTCCCTCTTCCCATGTGGTCCTTTGATTTTTACTCAGAGCTGCTCTAGCTGGAGCTCACTTGTACCCAAAGTGTCCCTGTCCCAGGAGTCCTGGCCTGACACCAGCCCCTAGTGACTGCCCTGTGCTCCCTCAGGAACCGGCCTTCCCAGAAGCCCACTGGATGTTTAATTTTGAGCTAACTAATGCTACATAACTTACCCTTGCCTAAAGATTGGCTGCACGTGCCAAAACTGTGAATAGCCTCTGACTACTGACTTTGGCCATTATAGAAGGTGACTTTTGGCCCACATGCTTGTGACTTGCAACCAGAAGCCATAGGATCATCTGCCACCTCCTCTCAGACTTCACTCTCACTGCCTTCATGGTTATGTAGCACCAAGGAATCCAGACCATGTCCCTCCAGTCCTGGGGCATCCCTGTGCTCAGTGTCTTCCTCTTGTTGAGACCAGAGATTCACAGAATCTACCTCTGTTGACTTGATCCCTCCATTGTACTTCTGAAGTGGGCTAGTAGTTGGAGGTCACTCCGGCAAGCACTTCTAGGAGCTCTCCTCCAGGCCCCTGGGCCGCAATCATTAGCATCTGAGCTATTGTCAACTGCGCAGTGGTGGATCACTTCCATGTACCTTCAGCTTTGTCTAACTTTTTTTTTGCTTGACTCTTTCTCCCCTTTTCTCTCTCCCTACCCACCTCAGTCCCCTCCTATCAGCTTACTCATCAGCTTATCTATGTCTCCCTCCCCTCTTGTCCTTTTAAATTTCTTTCCAATCTCACACTCCTAGCTATTACAATAGGCCTCCAGTATACTCTGTATGACTCACACTCTGATTAATGTAATTGTTAGTCTGGGGATTGTGTTAAAGCATTCACTACCTTAGAGAGTATCATCTTGGGCCACTTGTTTATTCCAAACTGTTTGCTCTTCCCTAAATACACAGTGAGTGCTCTGTCACATCTGTTCTGTGTGTGTGACTTGAATTTGCTGCCCTACTCTCTTATGTGTGCAACACACACACACACACAGAGAGAGAGAGAGAGAGAGAGAGAGAGAGAGAGAGAGAGAGAGAGAGCAAGAGAGCGAGCGACTGACCTAGTAAGGTACTGCATACCCTTAAGAGCTTGCTGATGACCAGTCTGTATGATAAGTGTCTCAGAGAACATGAATTTGGTTTTATTCAGTGTCTGTCTTTGTGCTTCTAGCATGGGAATTGGTGTATACTGGTTTCTCCAGCAGTGTTGGCTGAATGTGTGGATGGTGGATGAATAAACTAACTTGGTGCACAAATTATACAGGACATCACAATGACATGTACCATGGCACCATCGTACCAAAGCCATCCATGTAAGACTGGGAAGTGTTTCTCAGCCTTCAGGGAGATGTCATCCATGCAGAACAAGGGTGCTCTGAAAAGTTTTACAAGACACCTACTCAGTTCATCTTGTTCCTTTAGCTCATATTTTAATTTACAGTTCCCAAAGAGTTTTAAAACATTTCTTTCCAAATAAGGCAGGAAAAGGTGGCACATGTTTTGGGTTCATTTGGAGAACAGTTATATCACTAAATAATTTGATGTCAAGATAATGACAAATACACATGTGAATGATTTTTAGGTCACGAATGTGTTTGCATCTCAAGATGTAAATTTGGTTTTGATGTTGGCTTCTTCCCACAGGCGCTTTGGTCTCCTGGTTCAGGTTGGTGTCCAGTTGTTTGAGCACGTTTGTAGTGTTCTCGCTCTGATTTTCAGGTTGACTTTGATCAACTTCAGGATAATTTATGTCAGATGGAGAGAAGATGCAAAGCTTCATGGGATCACCTCAAGGCAATTGCAAAACATGAAATGAAACCAGTTTTAAAGCAACGAATGTCCGAGTTCCTAAAAGACTGTGCAGAGCGAATTATAATTTTAAAGATTGTGCATAGAAGAATAATTAACAGGTAAGTATACTGAGGAACCTATGGAAAGATAAGTTGAAATATATTGACATGTTGAAAATAGTTTGCGAACCAAAATCTTATGGTTAAATTTTTACACACAAAAATGTTGCTGTACATTCTTGGTACATAGCAAGCATACCTGTGATATAGATATTTCATAGGTGGTTTCATACACAGTATCAAACTGTGCATTTTTTTCCTACACAGCAACACAATGCTTCTGAATCTTGGAATTAGAAGGGTTAGCAGAGATAATGTGACCTAAAAATTCTTCTTGATCAGAAATTGTATCTGAAAGTATAATAAATATAGTAAAATGGAAAGAAATTGAATTTAGGGATTAAACAATGAAGATGAGAGAAAGGAGAAAAGATAGGAAAAAAGGAAGGGGGAAGAACATACAAGTGTATATACAGGATGGCTGAGATGATTGTACTAAAAATTTCCATCAGTTTTTTGACAATAGCAGTTAATGTTTAGAATTTTCACCTTGACTAACTCTGTATGCTGATATCTATGATCTGAGCAACTACATCAAGGACAGCAATGTGTAACACAAAACCCATGGTTGAATACCTGTCATCTTGGCCTTCTATATGTATGCTCTTTCTAATGCCTTATCAAATATTACACTCTCTTTAAAATAAATTTTTTAAAAACGATAAGGAAAAAAATTAAGATTCCTTCAAAGCAAGCTTTAACATTCAATTATCTGTCCAATTTTGAATAACTTTATCTGTTAATATAAGCAACAGAATTGATGATAAAAAGATAATATTACAACCAGTGTTAATTCGCTATTCTGAAAATCTATAACATATGTATTGTTGTAGTTTACCCAGTTTTTGCCTTTTTTTCTATTTGTTTTTGCTTCTGTTTTTACTCTTCAAAATGAAATTAAACTAAGGGCCAGGGAGATGGCTCAGTGGAATAAGCGCTTCCCTGGCAAGCACAAGGGCCTGAGTTCAATCCCCAGTTCCAGAAAAAAAATAAATAAAATTAAATTAAATTAAACTAAATTAGAAAGAAAGAATTGTATCCATAAATTCTCTGATGAATTGAACGCTGCCTCCCTATAGCTACTTCAAAAATTTTGCCTCCTAAGAACCTGCTCATTAAAAATGTCCCTGACTTATCTGATCTATATAGTTTGCTCTCTGAGGACCTCCAAGTGGTAGATTTGCTGATGGCTTTTCTACACTACATTTGCCTGGGTGAGGGTTGGGTCATACTGCAAGTCCTCCCTTCTTGAACAACCTTCCTGAGAATCACAGGATCCAAAAGGCCCTTGGAGAAACAGCACTGATGGGTCAGAGGGTTGGCCAGGGTCTAGCCTGGCTCCATGGCTGCCTGGGACTGACCCCCCAGTAAGTGATGGTAGCCAGGATTAGATCCTGTGTTCTCTAATGTCCTATATGAGCCACCATTTGTGCTCCTTTACATCATCCTGGAATGTGGTTGTGGGACCTATCATTTTCACCCTTCCATCACAGTCTTTTTTATTTTTATTTTCATTTATTTTTATTTTTTCATCGCAGTCTTATAAAGCTATGTTCTGTCCATTTTACCCCTTCCTCTCCCTTTCTTTCCTTCCTTCCCCTTCCTTAAGCCCACAGAAGACTTTGAAAAAACCTTCTCTTATCTACATATGAGCCCCCTACCAACTTGTGTCATTTGCTGCTTTGATGATAACCATGGTTCCTTGGTCTTTATATACTCTACAAAGGAAAAGAAAGCAGTTTTAAAATGTTGGACAGGACAAAGATACAGCACAGAATCTTCCCTTAGGTTGATAAGTATCCAATAAGCAATATTTTTGGAATTGAGTGATGTACTATAAATCCTCCTAACTACTCTTTCAGTTGCCCCCTGGATCTTATAAAAGATTTTCTTAAATTTCTCACCAAAAGTAAAGTACACCATGCTTTTAATGTGGTGACAGAGGGGAGACAGGGAATGTGGGCTGGCTTGATCCTTGATACTTCGTATGATGCAAGAAATTCCCAACTTTGTAAAGCAAAACAAGTTACACAAACAGTTTCCATTCTGGATGTCATGAAAATGAAGCAATTTTAACAAAGTCTTGTAAAGCTTCTTATTAATCATTTATCCCAGACAGATTGAAAATGCATTTTGGTGATAAATCTATTCCTTAAGATAAGTTTGCCCTCATTGTTCTGCCAAACTGGTCATTTGCATGATAGTTAAACCTGCCTGACAAGCCAGCAACCCACTGCTGTGGAGAAAAAGTTGAATGGCTAATGGAGGTACCAGGTGGTCACCAACCCAGAATACCTACCTGGGGTTGCCTGGGCTGTACTGAGTTAAGAGAAACTGTCTTGGGCTACGTATAAAATCGATAGTATTTAAAAAACGGGCTGGGCTTTGGCTCAGCGCTAGAATGCTTGCTTTCCTAGTAAGCTAGAAGCACTGGGTTCAGTCCTCGGCACCAGAAAAAAAAATAAAATAAAATAAAAAATAAACCTCCCCTAAAAAGTAACAAATCTTGCTTTACTTTCAAATATTGTATTATAATATTTAAAAAAGAGCAGGCAACGCTTAGCCACAGCTTGGGCATGCCTGTGAACTCTGGGTTCAAATGAGGTCCTTAACAGGAGCCCTGCATGAAGAACCAATTCAAGCAGGAAAATGTTGTTGAAATATAGATGAATGACTGTTATCCCTAATTGCTTTTCTTTAGTTTTCCATCTCCTTCCTGCCCACATTCCCAAGGAGTGATCCCAGACCTGCTGGAATAGCCTTGTACCTTATATGTTGGAAACTGAGACTCAGAGAGGTTGGGAGCCTATAGCTTGTACCCATGCTGTTGTCTTGGCCATGCAGATCAGCCTATGTGTAAGGCTCCAATCAGCATTGTGATAAGTTATATAACTGTTGCTTCAGGTAGCACCTGGGTTTCAAGGTTATTGCTTGACTTAGAAACTCTTTTTCTGAGTATTGGAGCCTGCACATTAACCTTTCCTTATATCTTGCCACCTTAATAGCCTAATCCACTCATTGGGTGAAAACTCCTTCCCATAGCTTTATTAGGCTGCAGTTACACTGGAAAGGCCACTGCTGGACTCTCCAACCTGGAATAAGGAGTGGGAGGCCAGTGGACTATATTCAAGGAGTTAAGGCTGGCAGAAGACAAACACCCAAATTAGAATCCAGTTCTCCAAAACCCTCCCTCCACATTCTGGGCCAGACTCCCATTCAATAATATATTCGAGAAAACGTGGGGGATGAGGCACATCAATTATGTTTTGTTCCTCAAAGTGCTGAAGAGGGACACCAGCCCCTTCATACACATAAGACCTTTGTGTCATGTGGCAAAGTTACAAAGTGACAGAGTTAACAAAATATTCCATAAATGTTTTACTCCCTCAAAGTCATTCTTGCTTTGTCCTTCTAAAGGAAAGCGTGATCTTTCTCTTTTCACGTCTGAATCTTTTTTGCTGATGTGAATTTTACTTTGCTTGTTGTTACTACCCTTGTTGGCAAAATGCATGCTTGAGTCGCATTTCCAGTTTATGGTTTGGATCTTCTGTGGATCCTAAAATCAGCACTCTGGAAAGTACAGGATAGGCACTCTTGGTGCTGCTTCTGTGTAGAAGAGAACCAGAAAGGTCATGTATTACCCTGCTATGGCTACTGAGTTCTTTCATTGATTCATCCTGCATAACAATCTTGAACAGCGATAGAAGTCAATATAGGAGTATAGTGTGTCATGCTGTTCTAGCCTGTCATCATTTCATATATTTTCTATATAATATATAATGTCAGTTGGCAGTAAGAGCCAGGAAGAACAAGTTAGAGTGTAAATGGAATAATTACTTATTTTGGTGGTATTAGAGATCACACTCAGGCCCTTGGGAACCCTAGGTAACTGCTTTATTGCTAAGCTACCTCCTCACTATAAATGGGATAGAAAAATACCAGAAGGTGCTGTTTTGCATGAGGGAGCCAAGAAGGGCTTCTGGGGAGGGTAGATACCTATGGGGTGAGAAAGCACTATCCATGCAGCTATCGATGACAAAAATGTTGTAGACACAGCAAACAGCTGGCACTGTGCCCTCCACCAGGCCTATTATTTCAGTGTGGTGGCCTCTTCAGCTTCCTCCCTGCACCGTTAGCCCTCAGACTCATCTCCTTGCCCTCTCTTCCCCTTGTGTGCCGGGTTTCCTACCTAACACACAGGGGCTGTTGTCATGTGTAGTGTCACAGGCCTGTAATCCCAGCCTTTAGGAGGCTGAGGTAGCAGGGCTGCTGTGAGTTCAAAGCCAGCCTGGGCTACATAGTGAGTTCAAGATTGCCCTGGAATGGACAGTGAAAACCTAGCTCAAGCAAAACAAAATAGAACAACAGAACAGGACCACAGGGACTGAGGCTCTGGGGTGAGCCTATTCAAGGAGTAACCAGATATTTAGAGCAACAGCAATCATCAGGAGTGCAGTCTCAGAGGTAGTAGAGGGGGTCACACAGGGCCTTGGTGCATGTATGTTTTGTTTATCTGTCTGTTGATGGACAGTTAGTTTTCTTCCACTTTCTGGTTATTGTGAATAATGATGGTATGAACATTTACATAGACAATTTTTTGTGTACAAATATTTTCATGTTTTCTGGGTTTATGTATAGGAGCAAAATTTCTAGGCCATATGGTAGGTCTACATGTAACTTTTTGTGAAGCTGTCAGTCCATAGCAACATAGCAGCCCTTTACATTTCCATCATAAAGGCAAGAGGATCCAATTTCTCCATATTCTCTCCAACACTTGTTGTCTTTCTAATTCTAGACATGTTTGTGAGTATGAGGCAGCGTTGGAGTTATGACTTTTTTTTATTTTTTAAAGAGAGTACAAATTAGAATTAAAACAGAAAAAAATACAATCAATATGGAATTGCACTAACAAAATAATATGGATTTCACAGTATTTGTTGTAATACATAGTGTTGTCTTCCAATCAGTTATTCATATTCCCAGCTATATGCTTGTAAAATTGGAAAAAGAAAGAAAAAAAGAAAGAAATGTACAAGAAATTAAAAGGAGAAAAAGTATAAAAAATGGAAAAAAGAGATAAAAACAAAGCATTAACTGCTTCTTTCCATAGACCAGCAGAAATGCACAGTATAGTTGTCCGAACCATCCAGCTTACATACATAAATAAATCTTTTCCCCCCACTTCCTCTCCTGTCCTTCTCAACCTGGTAACTCCTTTTAAATAAGTTCATTCCTTTTTCCCAGTGTCTACTGTACCCTTCAGATTCCATTTTTCTCTTTCAGGGTCTCACACTAAGGAGACAATATGATGTCAACATATGTGGGTCTGATTTCTTTCACTTAAGAGTATGTTCTCTAGTTGCATCAATTTGCCAACAAAAGAATCAAATTTATCCTGTTTTATAGCTGACTAATACACCATTGTGTAAAAATACCACATTTTCCTCATCCATTCTTCCATTGATGGGCATCTGGGTTGTTCCCAGGATTTATCTATGACAAATTGTACTGGTATAAACATGGGTGTACATATTTTGCTCTGGTATGAGGTTTTCAATTTTTATGGAAAAATACCTAGGAGGGGAATAGCTGGCTTGAATGGGACCTTCAATCCTAGCTTTTTAAGGAACCTCCATACTGATGTCAGTGCCAGTCTGCACTCCCATAAGCAGTGCAGAAGGGTTCCTTTTTCTCCATAGCCTCCTCAACATTTTTTAATTGGATGACTTTTATTCTTGTTAATTTTTAACATTTTATTTATTTGATACAGGGTCTCACTATACAATTCCAAATCATAGTGATCCTCCTGTCTCAGCCTCCCCAGTACCAAGATTACAGGTGTGCACTACCAGGCCCAGTTTCGGGGCCGGTGTGTCCCAGGTTCTGGGGCTGGCATGGTATGTGGTACCAGGGATTGAACTCAGATCCTTGGGCTTGCCAGGCAGGTGCTTAGACCACCAAGCAATTTCCCTAGCTCACTGGGTGACTCTTTCTGGGGTGAGATGGAATCTCAGTGTTGTTTCAGTTTATATTTCTCAAATGATCAATGATATTGAACATTTTTTCATGTTTATTTCCCATTTGTATTTCTTCCTCTGAGAAGTGTATTTCTCAGAAGCCCATTTTTGGAATGGGTCTTTAAATTTGGGGACCTTATTTTTTAATTACTTATATGTTCTAGGTAGAAGGCCTTTGTGGATGGGACAGTTGGCTATTATTTTTTCCCAGTTTGTGTGTTTTTTCTTTTTTTTATTCTGTTGGAGATTTGCTTTGAAGTGTAGAAACTTTTCAAAAAGATGAGATCCCAGTTGTTGATTCTTTGAATTATTTCCAGTGCAGTTTGGTTTTGTTTATGAACTCTCTTCCTACCCCTATGTCTTTAAGATTTCTACCTACATTTTCTTCCAGAAGATTTAGTGTTTCTATTTTGATATTTAAATCTTAGGTCCATTTTGACTGTAGCTTTGTGCATGGTAATGAGCATGGGTCTAGTTTTAGCTTTCACCATGTGGAAAGCCAGTTTTTCCAGTACCATTTATTAAAGAGGCTATCTTTCTTCCAGTGAGGCTCTTTGGCCCCTTTATTAAAGATAAAGTGGCTGAGTGTGTTTTCAGTTGTGTCTGCATCTTCTAATCTGTTCCATAGATCCTCAGGTCTTTCTCTATGCCAGTACCATGCTGATTTTATCACAGTAGCTTTATAGTATATTTTAAGGTCAGGAATTGTGATAGCTCCTGCCTTGCCTTTGTTTCCCAGGATTGCTTTTGTTATTCTGGTTCCAAATGAATTTGAGGAAAATTTTCTCTAGCTCTGTGAGGTAGATTTTTATCATCTCCTATTGATTAATGATGTTGAACATTTTTCTATGAAGTGCTCTATTATTTTCTTTATCCTTTTAGAAGAAATGTGTATTCAAATCTTTTGTTTCCAACATTGAATCATAAGATTTCTTTATAGATTCCAAACACAAGTCCCTTATCATGATTTACAAAATATTTTCTCTGATTCTGAAAGTTGTCTTTTCACTCTTGATAATGTCCTTTGAAGCGCAAAAGTTGTTAATTTTGAGGTTTAACTTATCTATTTTTATTGATTGTTTATGATTTTGGTATCTAAAGAAAAAATTGTGTTATCCAAAGTCACAAAGATTTACACTTGTTTTCTTCAAACAATTTTGTGTCTTCTGCTAGCATTTTAAAAACTTTTATTAGAACATGTTTGCAGTGTATAATAACTAAAATTTAGGGTAGAGAATTGGTACATATGAATAACGCCTTCAATTTTCCCCCTTCATTCTTCCCGTTTATTTCTCAGCATCAGATTCATTTATAAGAACGTACAAAGTTGCATACAGATTGAAAACCAGATTAGTAGACCAAAGACTTCGCCTTCATTTTTCAGCTCCTTTCACTTTAAGTACAAGTTGTATGTTCCACTTTGTTATTTTTCAGAAAAAAGGAATTATTCAGTGCTTCCCACTAAAAACAACACCCATATTCAAACTGTACAAATTAGAATGATCAAAACCAAAAGTTCTTGTTTATAAACAGTCATATCATTTACATAATACTGTGTGCTGCACACTAAGGTTTCCCTGTTTTCTACTGTCTTTTTTCTATCTCCTGATAATTAAATATTTGTTACTTTACAACATTTTTAAACAAATAAACCATTAATGGAATTCTAACAATATTTTTATTTCTATTCTTGTTTAATCTAGAAATTGTGCGATAACTTCCTATACTACTTTGCCATTTTTATGGAAAGTTTTACTTATCCATATAGAAAAATGTTGAAGCACAGGTAAAGCTAAAACGATCTCCTAAAATCCTGCCTAGATATATGCTCCATCAGTGAGAAAGTGAGTTGAACTTTTATTTGCTTAAAATTCTTGAAACTCAAAGCCCCAAGAATGAAGAACACTGTCCTCCCACTGAGAGCTTGGCTCCCTGTTTTTCTATGGAAAGATTTTAGATAAGTAATTTTTGTTCCTTAAAAGTGAAGTCATTGCCCTTACTGTTTTTTTCCTTGCAGATTCCACTCCTTCTTGCTTTTTATGGGCCATCCACCTTATGCAATTCGAGAAGTGAACATCAACAAATTCTGCAGGACCATTAGTGAATTTGCACTAGAGTATCGCACCACGAGAGAAAGGGTTTTGCAACAGAAGCAGAAACGAGCCAACCACAGAGAGAGAAATAAGACCCGAGGAAAGATGATCACTGATGTAAGTTTCATGAAATCAGTCTCTTTAGGTCATTTATTTTGAAAGTGATGCCAGCCATAAATCCTCCCGTGGCTTGGGAGCTTGATTGTGCGGGGAAATTTTTTTTTAAGTGATTTCAAATTACTCTTCTACAATTTCTGTGAAAACCTACTGTGTAACAAACAAGGACCTAGGTCACAGAAATTTAAGATCATGTGGTTGGGGGAGGAATGTGTAACCCAAGTTGGTGACATAAATACTTGATAAAATCGGAAAAGAAAAACATCAAAGGTAAGTAACACCATGAAACATTGGAAAAGAAATGTATTGATCTGTGATTGATTCAGGATTTTGATCATGACCACAGTGTTATATAACTGATCAGCTGACACATGAACCACTCATTTTGGTCACTGGAATGGAGAAACTGATGCAAGACAATCTGATGGGCCCATGGTGGTCCCTTAAGTCACAGAATATCAAGATAGGAAGAGGTCCCAGAGAACTGAGAGTACAGAAGTTTTGTTACAGCAACTGGGGTGCCCCAGACACTTCCAATGTCTCTCCTAATTATTGGCTCATCACCTCCTCCACCATCTCAGCCTTGAGCCTGTCCCATTCTTGGTGCAGTGAGGTCACACATGGAAAGCATTCAGTAAGAGGGGGGTGAAGGGACATCCAAAGATGCCAGAGGGGGAAAAATTAAAGAGCTGGGGATATAGCTCAGCGGCATAAACACGTGCCTGGCAAGTGCAAGGTCCTGAGTTTGATCCCTGGTATAAAAAAACAAAAAACAAAACAAAAAAACCACCAAAAATTCAAAGATACCAGAAACCAACACAGATACCCAGAATAGATTCTTCTTTCTGAGATGCCTTCATGAAACTTGCAAACTAGACTGGTATTTCACACAGCTCATCTGTTACTAGTAGGATCTAGGTTCAGTCCTGACCTAATAGAAGGTGTTTTCTGGGAATTCTCTTTTCTTCAACACCTATTCTTACTTGATCCTATTCAAGAAAAATAAATTTGTTTTCTTTGATATCAGTAGATCATGTTTAGTCCCTGTTGGAGGCCTCCTCAAAGTGATTTCTTTCATTGTTTAGATTGGTGCCTGCGGATGTCTCATACCCATGCATGTGTCTGAGTAGCGCATGGACTCGAAGTGGTAGGGTGGGTGGAATGAGAAGAGAAAGGACTCAGCTGTAGGGAGTGCTTAACCCAGGAGGTTGAATCTCGGCTGAACTCAGGTCAGGCAGGTTTCTTTGGGGAGGAAGAACAACCAATGAAGACCTCACTGAGGCTGCTTTTTATCCCCAGAGATGTGTCCACACTCTCAGCAAAACAGGAAACAGTGTTTGCTAAGTAAAGCACTTCCTGAGGGCTCTACCTTCGCATGGAAACCCAGATACATTAACAGACATTTTTGCTGTAATTCAAGGCGATTCTAAGAACTAAGAAGTCCAAGTCCCCTTGTTTCCTTAGAATTTTCTGGGGTCATAGGGAGGGCAAGGCCACTTGTCTCCACCAGGAGGACTTTTTGCGGTTCCTGGGAGTTCAGAATGCCATTGCCATCATTTGAGAATCTTCTGTCTCCTGAAATCAGGTTCAACATGCTTTTTTTTTTTTAGCCTGCTAGAAGATTCAGGAAGAAAACTGAATCCACTTCAATAAAGCATTGTCCACGTTTTATTTCAATGTGCTATTTTAAAAAGTTTTTTTTAAGGGAATCATTTGTTTTTGTGGAAATGAAGCACATTGGAGGTTGAAAAATCACAAGCACAGTATGCTTATAGTTATGAGAGTGCATCAAAATTTCTTGACAAATTCTTGAGATTTTTTTCAACAGATCCCACTAATTTTTAAGTTCTGTGCTTCTCTGAAAACATTTGGCTTTCTCAGACATAAACAGAAGTAAATGTTTCTATAGTTTGATTGAAAAAATTTTAAACTCTCATTAAAATGTGGAGCATCCAGATTTCTTTAGGGTTCATTATCAACCTAATCCATGGCTTTTAGAGGTCAAAGTGGCATTCATGTAGAAAGACTGCCATCTGCTGAAACTTTAGGATATTGTCACCAAGGCAAACCACAGCCTCCAGTTTCCCCAACTCTAAATATGAGTATTCGTTGTATTTCCACCACAGCAGTGGGCACCAAGGAAGAGGTAAGAGACATGTTTGTGCACCAAGAATGTCATCATTCTTGGTTAGAAAATGATGCACACACAACTAAAAACACTGGGACCAAAGCCACACAAAGATTTAGAATCATAAGCCCCCAAATCTTAAACCTAGAAGAAATTTTGGAGACAAGCATGGTAGATCATTTTGATATTGATGATGAATAAATGAGGGTGGAAGTGGGAGTAATAAAGCCAACATGAAAGGTCCAGGTTAAGCTCTCCGGACTGCCTTGATAGAGATGGCCAAAGAGTAGACCTGGAGTGCTGTCCCTCCTTTGCTCTTGCTGCTCCAGAGCAAACAACTGACAGGTTTTCTTTCCCAAAAGCCAAAGGTCCTCCCTGACAATGCTCAGAGTGAAACTCGTTCCACATCTTCCTATCCTAAACCAGTTTCAGACCAGAGGTAAGCTAAACAAAGCAATACAAGGTAGCTGGGGCCCTGTCTGCTGCCATCCTCACCCCAGGAGGCTGGGAGAAGCCAGCACACCACAGTGAAAGGACACGGGGACTCTGGGTGACAGCATGGACTCCTCCCACTATTGGCTATAGAAAGGAACTGATGGTTTCTTTCAGGGATATTCAGAGACCTGGGAATTTTGTATATGTAGCACCTGTTTGCAATATCTGTCATTCCAGCTTAATAAGTCATTAGACATAAAAGTAGAATGGGATTGTTGCGTCTGATCACAATGCCAGGGAAGGGGGCCATTGCACAGTGTGATGCATTGGAAGCATCTTGTATTTTTAACTTCCAAATGTGTAGTCAACAAAATGTGTCTGGTTTACTGACCTGACCTACAATCTCTATGGAAATGTTTACATCAAATTGTATTTAATGAAGATATCAACATGACTTTTTGCCTTCAATTTATTTTTATAAAAGGGATATTTTCATGTGACCTACATTTATCTAAAGTAACCGAAAGAACACAGTCCATTCCAATGGTCACCAACAGGGACACTGAGATTGTATGCAGAGCAGAAGAGACTAGTAGGGCATACTCTGCTTGGGAGTTGCTCCACTTGTCCACTCTGGCCTCTCAGTGAGAGGAATTACTATATCACAAGGCTCAGTAGGGGCAGGGAGGAGTTCCTCACTTGGCATGAGAGGTGGATGGCGGCTGATAAACAGAGCAGGATGAACGAAGAGCGGATTGCAGAGGCCCTGGTAACCAGAAGGTGATGGTGGCCTCAGCAGGCCGTGGCCAGCCACATGCACGGTGCAGAGCATGGACTGAGGTCACTAATGGTTAGGGAACAAGTATGCTGATTATCCACCTCCTGGGTAGGCTTAGGAGGTTGGCCAGCAGCCCTGCAAGTCCCTCCTCACAGTGTTCTGTTCTGGGAGCAAGCACCCAAAAGAAGATAGGAGAATGGGGCCTGGCAGCTCCCAAAGTGAGAGGGCAAAACCTGGTTGTGGTGATCAATTTCTTCTGTCTGTTTTTGGAATGTGATGTAATGTTAAGATTATCTCATCTGTGCTGACTTCTGTGCCTTCTAAGAATCCTGTCTTTTCTGTCCCGTCCTGTCCTCTCCTGTCCTGTCGGGTAGACTGATGACGAGGATGAAGTTGAGGTATGCCTATGAACATAAAGCACACTGCATTTGACCTTCCTGTGAGTGCTGTGGAGTCTAACCTACCATGGTCAGCATGGAGTGTCCGCACCATGTGGTGCTTTAAACCATGCATGGATATTTGCTGGCTAATCTTCCTGTGTTCACTAACTGCCTGGCAAGGAGTGAAAGGTTAACTGTATTTCCCAAACTGGCCCCAGTCTAGAGTCACCAGCGACAGTTTCAGCTGATTTTGCTCCACTCCTGAAAACATGGACCAGGGAGTTTTCTTCTGCTCCCCTTTTTTGGGCCTGTTGTCAATACAAATGTGAGAACCAGAGTATAGAATAAGTACATGTAGAGTCACAGTGGCCTCAGGCCTCTGATGTGCTTGCTCCCCTCTCCTTGACTGGCCTCCGTGAAACCCCTAGATCAGCCCGAGTACAGCACTGGGAGGGCAGGAGATCCTCCCCTGAAACTGGGCACAGGTGCAAGGCCCAGAGGCCAAGCCAGGCCGATGAAATTGAGGTGGAAGCAGGGTAGATGGTGCAAGCCAGGGGTGTGTCCCCAGGCTCTGCCACCGTGGCTGAGACTCCAGAGGAAAAGAGGAAGCCAGCAATCTGTGGAGCCACTCTTCGCAGATGTTCATCTTTTTTTCTTCATCCACATGTTTAGCATTGTGTTCATACAGTGTTCTGGCAAATTTTTTAAAAACATATATGCCCTGAATTTTAGTTTGGGTAGAATTAGAGAAAATCTTCATGGGGTTGTGATACTTATAAAAATAACTAAATATTTAAAATAACCCAAAGTAGCGAATGTTGCCAAATTCAATTGCAGATGAATCTGTGTGTTCTGTCCTGTTCTGTACCCTGACACTACCCTCCTCGGGGCCTTTGGCAAGTCATTTATTCTCAGAGCCTCAATCTCCTTTTCTATAAAATGAGGTGATTTACATTTAGAAGGAACCACCTATCATATATGTAATGTATGATTCTATAGCTAAATCCCACTTTTATAATTCTACCAGCATAATTGATATTTATGAAAAATTTAAAGTGCTTTCTGACAATATATTAGAAAAACGAAATCTCAATGTATTCGACTAATAAGGATTATTTCAGTTCTTATATCGGGACTAAAATCTGACTTTTTTTTCATAATGAAGATTGCATCCGAGGAATGCTGAGCCACATCCCCAGCACTTTTTATTTGAGTTTGAGATAGGGTCTTGCCAATTTGCCTAAGCTGCCTCGAACTTATAATTCTCCTACCTCAGCTTCTCAAGTAGCTGGGATTACAGGTATATACCACCATGCCCAGTTTACATCTGATTTTGTAGCTCTTCCTAAAGTTGATGTCTCTAGCTGGTATGTGCTGGGGAATCCAGGTGGACCAGTGGATGGATAGAGCTCCTCCTGGAGCCAGCGACTTCCCTTTTTACTCCTACATCTTCTATGGACAGATTTTCATTATTAGTTGACAGCCACAGTAGCTATCTAATTAATGCATCTGCAGAATGTACAAATAACAGAGAAAGCTTTCCTCAGCTGAATGTTCTCTAACCTGAAAGTTGGCTCTTGTAAGGAGTCTCCCCTACATCCTAACCTCCCTTTGGTTTTGCAGTCAGGCAAGTTCTCCAGCAGTTCTCCAGCACCACCGAGCCAGCTGCAGGGTCTGAGCTATGCTGAGGATGCAGCTGAACACGAGAACATGAAGGCTGTGCTAAAGACCTCCTCCCCCTCCGTGGAGGACTCCAGCCCTGCTCTGGGCATCCGCACACGCAGCCGAGCAAGCAGAGGTAATTCAGGAAAGTGGGGCTCATCTGCTTGGGTTGGCCACTCCATGGGAGCCAGTGTCTCCATCGCTGCCTGCAGGTCACTGTGCCCAGGGGGGGCTGTGGGGGGCCATGAGCTCTCCAGGACTTTCATTGTTCACCTAGACACAGCTTCCTTTATTGGCTCCTTTGCAACCTATCTCTAATAGCATCATCTTGAAAATACTTCTGCAAGTCTAAATTTCCTTCTACAGAAAGGGTTCGTACTGCGAGTGGCTCCTCACTGGCTAAAGCTTGGACCCACAAGCTGCAGTCTGCAAGCCGAATTCAGTCCCACGCCAATTTTTGTAAATGGAGTTTTATTGGAGCACAGCCACGTTCAGTCATTTTTATATTGTCTGTGCCTGATTTGTACTGCAGTGGCAGAGTTGAGCCATTGTGACAGAGTTTGAAGTTTACAAAAACCTAAGAAGTTACTTTACAAAAAGGTGTGTCAACCCCTGGATTAGAACACTACCTGCTTGTTCCTTTCTTTTACATCCTTTGGAACAGAAACAAAATTAAAACTTCAAGGTGGTAAAGACAGATAAGAGCTTTTGGATTTGATTGATTGATTGATTGATTGATTTTTTTTGGTGGAACCAAGGATTGAACTCAGGCCCTTGCACTTGCCAGGCAAGCACTTATTCTACTGAGCCATCTCCCCAGCCTGATTTGATTTATAATTGGAAGGGATTTTTTTTTAATGTAATGGAAATATAGGATGCATTTTAAATCTGAGAATGTCTGTCCAGTTTTTCCTGGTCTGGTCTGATACCATGTTAGCCACATAGTTCCTCACCACAAGGTAAAGCTTAGCTATCTACACTCTCTGATGATCAAAGCACTTGTGGTAGGCTCTGTCCTGTCCTACCCTTGGCTTTCACCCTCCCATGTTGCTGGCATCATCCTTTCCAGCATACCCTGTGTACCCCTAGGTCCCCCTGTTGCTCATGTTGTCACTCAGCTGAGAGTGCCCTCTCCCTGCCTGTCAAGTTTCCATCCACCTCCAAGATACTACCACCTCCAAGCCCTGTAGGCTGTCATGTCCTCCTCTTTCGTACAATCCTAAACCCCAGTTCAGGCCTCCTAAAGAAGATAAATTGCTGGATATGAGATGGGCTTTCTTCTTGTGGTATTTGCTAAGCACATGCTATATATGCACTAGAGGAATCTCTGTATAATATCTGTGGAGTGTGAAAAAGGATGCTAGGAGTACTTGTGCGGCGATTACCATGTCAGGTACACTAGGTTGTAGATTACCTTATATACCACAGAAATGTGGAAATGAATGAATGACCCTTCTGGCATCTTCAGAGGCTCTAGGGAGTCTTCAGACTCTCCAGATGACAGAAAGTCAGCTAGAATCCAGAGAACTCTAAGGTAGAGAAACCTGAGAAGGACCATTGGTAACTTCTTTATTGTTAATTCTCTTAAATATATAAAAATAATAATAGTAATGCCCTTCATAAAGGAAAAAAGATAAATGCATCTCTGAGTTTTCTTGGAAAGGAAGGTAGGTTAATACCATGCAGTGCAAATGGCTTCTTAAACGATTTTTGTGAAGCAAAGAGCCCCAGCTGCTATCCAAGAAAGATCTCAGAAGGAGCTTCGGGTTATGTTTCACAACACTAGGGTGTTTGAGGAGTTGCACTGTGGTTTTTCATACAGAATTACTGATTTTCTTCATGTGAGTATATAGTTCCTTCTCTTCTACCTTCATGTTGGGCTTTTACTTTGACACACAATCAGCGATATGCCAGAAGAAAGGCAGCCTTTCTCTATCCTTCCCCCATTATGCTAGTGGAGATGTAGCTGATCCCGGAGAAAAGTCTTGTCTCCTACTATGTTCTTAATTTCTGAGTTCCATGTAGCCTACACACTTTGTATATATTATTGTATTTGAGAATCGAAGATTAGGCTCCTTGGATTTTATTTAATTTAATTAAATTAATTTATTTATTTGGACAGGATCTCACTACATAGATTGGACTTGTAGTGATTTTCCTGTTTTCAGCTCCCAAGTGCTGGGATTATAGGTGCATGCCACCACGCCCAGTCTCAATTGCTGTCTCAGCATGCTGGCTGCTGTGCTGTGCCTAAGCAGGTGCTTTAGTTCTCTGAGCTATCAGGCCAGTCAAGTTTTTGTTGTTGTTGTTTTGTTTTGTTTTTGTACCAGGGATCAAACTCAGGACCTTGCACTTGCCAGGCAAGCACTTATTCCACTGAGCTATCTTCCCAGCCCCAAGTTCCTGGGATTTTTATCTGTTCAAATGCTCTGACTTTTATATAATTTTAGACATACAATTAGGAGAAGAAAATAAATTATAAGACAGTTTGACAAGAAAAGGGATCTTTTAGTGACAGCGGCAGAGTCAGCTAAGAAGACCCAGAGTCCTGTGCATTACACATGGCGCCTACTGATGTCCTGATTTGCTATGTGGCAAGAAAGGTGCCCTCTTCTCGGCCAGTACTGTCTACAGACAGCCTTCAATCAAGAGGTGACTAGAGAGAGTGTTTGTAAATAACATGAGGAAACAGGGTGGGAAGGTGAGATTGTAAAGAAAATAGTATCATCAAATCTTAAGCAGTAGAGCCTATCAGTGTCAAAGAAACATAAAACAAAAATAAGAAGACAATATGACAGTTTCCCAGTGTTGTCTGGTGTGGGGAAGCAGTCGCTTGTTTCCTGTATTACCAAAGCCTAAGATAACCCAGGTGTGAGTCCTCTGTGCACAGCAACTCCTGTAGGCTTTGTGTGTTAGACTTGACATGGCCTGCAGGACATCCAAAGAGAGCATTCCTGCCAGCCCCGGTGACCCTGCCTGAGCCCCTATTGGACCATGCAAGGATGGTGCAGCGGAAGCTGTCTCAGGAAGTGAAGTCCTGTAATGGAACACAAGCAGATTGTGCAATTTCTAAATACCATAAACAAGACACTTGTTCCCAACCAGAAAAGACCAAGAGAAACACTCTTGAGTTTGTGCAATATGGCTTATTTTCCCCAAACTCAGGAAGGGGCTTAGAGAAGAGGCTTGAATGTTTCTCTGCATATTCAAACCCATCTGAGGAGAGACCCCTACCTCAGGTGAAGTCTGTACTTTCAACCTATGCACAGATCTCAACCTCACGGTATATAAAGAGAGAAGTGGACCAGGCCATAATCAGTATCTGGCCTCAGCCTAGCTCTGTACCTTGCTATACCTATAACAGGAAACAGGAACAAGAAGGGGAAATAATGTGACTTCAGTCTCTACATTCTTTTTCCTTTTTTTTTTTTTTTTGGTGGAACCTGGGATTGAACTCAGGCCCTTGCACTTGCCAGGGAAGTGCTTATTCTACTGAGCCATCTCCCCGGCCTCTCTACATTCTTTTTTACACAAATATCAGTACACAGTTAAAACTACAAGCCAGGGGAAAAGCACGTCCATATGACTGACAATCAACAGAATAAGGAGAGAATAGCAGTATCTCTTTGTGATGCACATATTGAAAAGTACAATCAAGAGATCAACCGACAATTACAAAGCTTATTTTAAAAATAAATAAAAACATAGATGAACGGATAAAGAGATGAATGATTTCAGCAGAGAATTAGGATCTACACAGATAGTCAAATGAATATTCTAGCACTATAAAATATCTGAAATAAAGACCTCAGTAGGTAGGCTTAATGGATTGGCTCCAGCACAATAGAGAAAATTAGTGAATTTAAAGACAGGCTAATAGAATGTACACATACTAAAGCTTGGTAAGAAAACAATAGGGATCAGCCAGATAGCTCAGTGGACTAAAGCACCTGCTTGGGCAGAGTGCAGTGGCCAGGGTTTGATCCCCGGCATGTGGTGCTGGCCCTGTCCCTGGGGCGTGCTGAGACTAGGTGTGGTGGCGGGTGCCTGTACTCCCAGTACTTGGAAGGCTGAAAGCACTATGAGTTGGATCTGTGTAGTGAGATCCTGTAGACCCTGTAGAACCTGTACCAAATACATAAAAGATAGAAATAGAAATTAAAATATATAAAATGTTTTATAAAAAAAAGAAAGAAAAGAAAACAGAACAAAGTTGAAGTGAGATATGGGACACAATCAGAGAGCCTAACATACAGCTGTAGTACCAGGAGGAAGAGCTGAGTAGAAGGAATGTTTGAAGAAATAATGGCTGAGAATTTCGCAAGTTTAGTATCAAGACAAGTATTAACTCACATACTTAAAAAAGTATATACCACCATTGTACCACCCTGTCTCAATCACTGTCTCAGCATGCCCCAGGGGCTGGGCCAGCATGGCACACTGGGGATTGAACCCCAGCTACTGTGCTCTGCCGAAGCAGGCACTTTAGTCTGCTGAGCTATCTGGCTGACCCTAATGTACTACTCTGTAAAGGGGCCAAACATTACTAATGGTTGCTAATCTTTCAATAGAAACTAGAACCACTTTAAAAAAAAAATACCATGATATCATTAAACTGCCAGGAGAAAATGCTTCTAACCTAGCATTCTCTCTTCAGAGAAATTATTTTCCAGAAGTGAAGGCAAACATTTTTCTTTATTTTAAAATAATAAAAGTATTTATTTTGATTAATTTTTCCTTGTAGACTGTATGAATGGGAAGTCCAAAAGGAGAAAATAGTCTTTTCAGCTATAGTTTATATGCCTTTAGAAAACAAAGATAAAGTAAAACTGTGCTTTTATGGTCTAGAATGTTCTATCGCCTCTGCCACATTTCCGTATATGTTTTTTGCCAATACTTGGGAGGCTAAGATGAGCCCCATGGCCCCTTGGGTGTGCAAGTGATGTGGCCAGGGTTCTCCTGATGGCTGCATGTGACTGCAAAGATTCTAGGAAGAGGAACCGGAAAGAAGGGGAATAAATGGTGATCAGGCAATGAAGACAGTATCCTAGAAGAGAGGGGCTGAAAAGCAGATCCAGGCAAGAATTCATCACAAAACCGAGTCTGACAATTATGAACCTATGGCAGAATATTCCTTTTAAGCCTTTCCTGACAATCACATTGAAAGCAGAGCGCCGGAGGTGTGCAAGATGGGAAATATTGTTTTTTTTTTCTTCGGGGCCAAGGATTGAACTCAGGCCCTTGCACTTGCCAGGCAAGTGCTTATTCAACTGAGCTATCTCCCCAGCCCCGGAAATATTGTTAATTATCAGAGGGAAGATCAGATAAGTCCTTCATTTCTGGCTCAGTGCTCTGAAAATGTATTATGGCCAATGAAAATTAATGGAGGTGAGTGGGTGTGAGAGAAGTGGGGCGGGGAAGTGAGTGAGTTTGGAGGGGTAGTTTGGTATTTCAAACTACAAAGGATAGGAACCAGGTAAATGAGAAATGGGAAAAAAAAACAAAAAACAAAACAACAAAAAACTAGTGGTACAGCCCAGGTGTGCCATTGATTGTTCTGCTCTGAGGTGGGTTGTTGTCACCAAGGCTCTGTCACCCTGGTCTGATAGCTGTGACATCAGAGGCCTCTTGGCTGTAGTTACAACATCTAGACCATCCTGAGAGTGCAGGAAAACTCAGTAGCAATCTCAAAATTTGGTTTTGGGGAAGAGCTTATTTTTCAAAAGATTTCATAGAATGAGAAAATGAGCTTCTGATGGGAGAAATAGACTGAAGTACCTTAGGAACTAGCAAGAAAACTGCAGAGTATGGTTTGTGCATGTGCCGCTGCTGTAGATAGGCCCCATTAAAAAGTAAAGCAAAGCAAACTTTAAAAGTTACATCATTGTTCCTGGGCCTGCCATGCTGCCCTGCCCACAAGGTGCACTGAGCCAGCAATTGAGACTGGATGTAGTGGCGGGCGCCTGTAATCTCAGCTCTTGGGAGGCTGTAAACACAGATCACTACGAGTCCGATATAGTAGTGAGACCCTGAACACCCTGTAGACCCTTCCTGAAAACTACAAAAAAAAAAAAAAAGGACATCATCAACAACAACAACCAAAAACATGTTGTCTGAAAATATTGTCTTCTACCCATGGGTCTCACACACAGGTAGGTTCATAGGTTTTGGAACTCCTCCTAAAAAGTAGGAATTATTCAAGCCAATCATATGAACTCTACTGGGAGAAATTATGACTATATTTAGCATATTCCATAATTGCAGTGAAGGCCATGAAACACACACGCCCATGAAAACCACAGTCCACCGAGCTGTAATCCACTGTTCCAGTCTAGTTCTGTCAATTTGTTTTTTCTTTGCTCTTTCATTACCAATCAGATGCTTACAAGCCTCAAAACTTTACAGAACAAGAGCAAAGAAATAATTTTAGAAATCTTTACTAACAGTGATCATTAATGCTTAAACATTTTAAAAATCATTTTTAACATTTTTTCCTCTGAATTGGGAAAAGCTGAATGCTCATTTCCTTAGCTGGACCTCAGGTATCAGGCAGGTAGGGCATCTGTGTTCTGTGGGCAGTGACTGTGGCAACTGTACCCTACAAGCTTTTAAATCATACATGTATTACAGGATGAAATGTGGGTAGTGGAAATGGTTTTGAACATATATATCTTTCCTCCTGTAGAAATATATGTATAAATCAAACAAGAAATTCAAAAAGAAGTTGATCTATCACAAGGGCATAGTTCTGGTTTTATAAAATTAATTTGTAATTGTCTGATATTACTTGTGACCTCATGTTCCCATGTTTTGGTGATGCTTTCTTCTTACTATTTGTCTATAAGGAGATCCCTTGATGGTGGACTTGGACTGCCTTAACATGTAGTTATTTATGAACACAATTTTCTGGTTAAGAAATAGGTGAATTTTTGAAAAAAAAATCTGTTTAGTTTAAGTTCTACAGGGTCTCACTACACAGATCGGACTCGTAGTGAGAAATGGGTGAATTTTTGAAAAAAATCTATTTAGTACAACGTCTACAGGGTCTACAGGGTCTCACTACACAAATTGGATCCTCCTGTTTTCAGCCTCCCAAACTCTGGGATTATAGGTGTGTACCAGCATGCCCAGTCTAAAGTGAGTGAATGTTAAAAGAAAATGCTAGCATCCCTATTACTGGTTGAAGAAGGCAATCAATCTAGTTATAATTTTTAAAGCTATATAATCCAAACACAAACTGTATATTATAAAATCCCTTGGTTTCTATTTAACCTGTGGCGAGTCAGGGTTACTTGACATTCAGTAGGTATAAGCAACCATTAATAGAGAGCTGTCTCTGTAAACCCTTCTATAGGTCTCTATGTTATTGAATATGTCTTGCTGGGTATCAGTGATGTACACAGCAGGGTATGGCTTTGGCCATCTCCCTTTAGGTGCCTACAAAACCTGGAAGGTAAAGACAACACACACAGGAGAGAGTTAAATAATGAGAGACAAGAACATGGCTGTGTTATAGAATGGTGTGCAATAAGTGCCCCAGCGCAGGTTTGTTCAGATCCTGGAGGGTCACAGTTATAGGTGGCAAAGGCCAGCACCCTGGATGGTCACTGACTCTGCGGCTCTTACTCTGGCCTTTGCTGAAATCCTTCGTTGGCAAATCTCTGCTTCTTGGAAGAACAGTGATATGTGTTTTCCTTCTCTGAGCACGCTGCATTTTCTGGTTGTTTCATCTTTCAGGATCCACTAGTTCATGGACCATGGGAACTGATGACTCATCTAATGTCACAGATGATGCAGCTGATGAGATCATGGACCGCATCGTCAAGTCGGCCACCCAAGTGCCCAGTCAGCGAGTGGTGCCGAGGGAGAGGAAGCGATCTCGGGCCAACCGCAAATCTTGTGAGTGATTTTGAAGAGGGCTGAGGGTTTCAGCTGTCGAGGGCTCTTCCTTTCCATTTTGTGAGACTCCAAAGGGCATCTCCTGAGAGGCTGCCTGCAGCACTTGCATGCAACAGAAAGTTCTGAGCTTTGCCCTCAATGTTGGTCTGTTGGAGAAGGGTTAGAACCATACCTGTCTGGTGTATTGCTGTTTGTGTCCATGCCACTCTCAATTCCTATTTTGTCCTCAGGAAGGTTCAAAGGGCTTCTGAATGCCCTTCACATATAGGCATGGGTACAGTGGGGCCCACTGCCAACCACCAGTACAGATGCTTTGGTAGAGGCTGTGTGAGTCCTTCACCCTAGGACCTCTTGCTAGGCTGGAGACTGATTCCCTCTGAGGTTTGCCACAACACAGCACAGGTGAAAAGCTGGGGTAGCAAGTGATGAGTTGGTCATTAGGATATTTAAAATAGTTCAATGTGTGACTTGTGGCACCAAACAGAGGATTCAGTGAAATCAAATGACTAGTCTTCTTTTTAGCCTGTACCTTCTACTGCACCTGTCCCCTGAGCTGATGGATGATTTTGTTGGTGGTCTATGCCAATCGACTGTGTTAATTCTCTGCTGTCTGGGGGTCACAGGATCCCTGTGACTCCTTTGGCATTGGGCTGCATTAGCAGGGGCCCTTGGTGTTTCAAGAGCACCTCCGGTCTTCCTGGTTGCTGGGTCACTCACAGAGAGCTTGATTCTCCACCAACTCTGCCTCTGAGAATAAAGGATGGTGAGGAGGAAAGGGATCCTGGGTGCTCACCCTCTCCTGAAGAGCAAAAATGAAAGGAAAGTGACTCCAGAAGGCAGGGAGTTCTGTAAGAACTCAAGTGCAGGGCACCCCCACTTGTTCCACTGGTGAAAAGTCACACAGAGGTGACTGGGGTGTGGGCTGCATATGTTGACTCTTGTGGCTCTGCCTGACTCATTGCCATGCCTGTTTCCAGGATAAAGAATGCTAAAACAGATGCCTGCAGCCTCCCAGACTGCTCCTTCCATGTGATCTGCTTTAGTTTCTGATGGGAACTTTCCCCAGAAAGGAAAATATCTCTGTGTGTGGGTGGAGCAGGATAGGGAGCTTGATTCTCCCTTGGCATAAGGGGTGGGCTGGTCATTTATTTCTCTCTTAGCATAATGGGTGACTTGATACTTGGATGAGCTCCTACATGAAGCTGATGCTGCTGGCCCTTGGCATGTGCTTAGAATAACACACTCTTGAGCTGTAGTTGTTAGCTGTAGGTGTATACTACCGCATTCTGCAGCGATGTTTAAGCTGTTGATAGCTTGGCTCACCAGGCTGACAGCTCCTGAACTTCACTGATAAGGGCTGAGTTCTGGGTTCCTGGCTCTTGGGAAATGACTGGCATTAGCAGGTCGACACGCCCTCCAGGTTATGCCTCACCCCATGTTACAATCCTTCTATTTTTTAGCTAGAAACTGCCATTTAGGTACACTAGTGTTCCACATCTTTAAGAGCACATTCTCACTTCCAACACCAGTATCTGAAGAAGGTCTTTACATTTATTTTTCTGATATTTTTCTCCTTTCCTTGTACCATCATGTCCTTGCTTGTGTTTTCATGTCCCCATCTGACAACTTGATAAGCAATTTGTTCCTCAAACTTGGGCCTCAGACAACATAGATATCTCCTCGAAGCTTATTCAAAATGCAGATTCATGGGCCCCATTCCAGTCTCATTTAAGATCTCTGGGAAATTCATGTTCATAGTAAGGTTGAAAAGCGCTGGGCAAAGGGAACAGCAATGATATTGCCGGGCCCTGAAATGACAGGCTCTTCTCCAAAGGGCTGGGGTAATGTATTCTAGCTGAATACAGCATGACAAATCTCATTTTATCCAAGCCAAGTTAGCATTTTCCATTTTTGCCTATTTAAAGAGTGTGAAGTAGTATATCCTTGTGATTTTAATTTATATTTCCTGTATGTTAAAGTTCGGCCCCTTCCAATTGATATCTCTTCTTTTATATATGACTTGTCTTTATCATTTGTCCATGTTTCTGTTGCTATTTTTCATAAGAAATTTACTTCTTAAGTTACTTTTTAAAAGAAACTTGTGAAAGGCTTTTTGAATAGATTATCTTTGCTAGTTCCCCTTCATTCCCTTCTCATCACTTCCATACCTGGAAACCAAATGGCCAAAGCTTCCGACTTATTAACTCTTAACCTTCTGACAGTGGACAACTCAGCACAAGGTTCAACATGAGCAGGAGCTGGGAAGGGCATGGTGGAGGTGAACTGAGGAGAAGGGTAGGAAAGGCTTCCAGACCAGTGAGTCCCTGATGGAGAGTAGAAAAGATTGGGCAGGGGCCATACCAAAACACAGCATGAGACATAGACCTGGCCAGTCTTTAGAGGCCAACGTTATGGGCTCTTCCTTCAAGTTACCTATCTGGATTGGGCCCACACTCTAGTCCAAAAAGAACCATATTCTTCGCCTGATACTCTCACTGGCAATAGTAATACCATCATAATTATTTTCCTCTTGAATCTGGCCAAAGAGATAGCCTGATTTTGTGATTGACACAAAATGATTTTTTTGTGGTATCATTTCCATTCCAATCTTATGCAAACTAGCCATGTATGTTTTTTCCTTAGCCAAACACATTTTTCTCTCTGGTATAGTTATCATAATGAATAAAACACTCTGTGCATGTAAGTGTTTATCTGTAGCTGGTCTAAATTATTAGCAATGGTACTAGCAATAGAAGTTGAAGACAGGGAAAGTTAGACTTTGATTTCTATCATAAAGAGCTGGATGATAAATGCTAGCTTTTCACAAGAGGTTAAAAGAATAAAAAAGAAGCAATTTGTAAATTGCTCACCATGAAACAATGCTGTGTTTTATTTGATTGTTTAATGGTGGCAGTGAGGCAAGTGGATAATGAATGACCAACCTAGTTGGGTTATAACTCATTTGGTGAAGACAATTATAACTCAGCTGGTGCAGGAAACTAAACTGAATCCATCCTATAACTTACAAGTTTATGACCTGAAATTCATTCAAGAATCCTCAGAAATAACTAACTGTGTGCTTCACGTGTGCGGCTGGTGACTAGGCTTATCCTTCATATCACGTGTCCTGCTAACACCTGACATATGCAGGCATTTGGGATCTGCCAAGGGTATCTTCGTCCATTTACAGTTTCCCATGGTGCAGTTTCCTGATTTTCCAGCTAGCACCAGTCAGCATCTCATTAAGTACAATGTTTCAGATTCTTCAGGTGATCTCTAGTCTGTCCCTAGCTCACCCAAAGTGCCCTCCCAGATTCTGGCCAAAGCTTTCCATTTTGCTGATGGCTGAGACCCAAGGAAAGTATTCACAAGTTCTTCTCTTAATGTTTTGGTTTCCTTTTGTCATATTGGAGCATGTGTTTTATCCCAGTGCTGATTTTCTCCTGAGGCCTTTTGGATGATGGCCTTGCCCAGAACACTCTGAAGCTCAGTAACGCTTGAAGAATCCTTCACAATTTAATGGTACATGACTGGCATTGCAGCAGGGGAGGAGCAGCTTCCATCCCGTCTTCTTCATTCTTTCCTCTCTTGGACATAACTTTGGAAGAGTATCAGCCCAGCTCGTCTGCCTGGTGCCACCAGGAGTTCAGCCTGTCAAAGAGCAGAGCCTGGGTTAGAGACTCACACTCAGCTTTTATCTTTTCCCAGGGGACCCCAGGTCTTAGGATAGATGAAAGAGGACAGGTGTCCTTATATAAGATGAGTTTTTGTATAAGTGGGGTTCTAGGCCCCACCTGTGATGTGACATGAACTTTTGGAATCGACACTTCGTTGCTATAAAGATGTCATCATTTTGATGTGACCTACAACAAGGTGAGCACTTTAGGTTGGTCACCTCTGTGAGATAGTGGTTGCTCAGTGTGAAGTTGCCAGGGGCTGCTGAAAAAGAATCGTAGGACTTTGATGGTGCACCCTCATTCCTGTCTCCTCGCTGTGGTGCATTCCTCCCTGAGGGTGTGCCTCTTGTAAGTATGAAATTTCCTGAAGACAGAATTATTGAATCTTAAAAAGTGTTAAAGCTAGGTACAGTGGCAGACACCTTGGGGGTGGAGCACTCTGGGAGTGGAGGTCAGAGAATTGCAAGTTGGAGGCCAGCCTGGACAGTTTAGTAACTTAGTGATTCCTCTTTTTTTTTTTTTTTTTTTTTTTAAAGAAGAAGTAAAAGGGAAGGAGGAAAGGAGAAAGGGAGGAAAGGCTAGGGGTGTAGCTAAGTGTGAAGGCCCTGGACTCAGTTTCTCAGTAGCAGAAAACAAATCAACCGTGTCTCAGTTACTCCTGTCTCATTGCTGGGACAAATACCCAACACCCAAAAGGAAGGAAGAAAAGGTCCATTTGGCTCACAGTCAGTGGAGGTTTCAGTCCATACTTGGCTGGCTCTTAAGGCAGAGCAGCACATGACACAGAGAGTAGCCATCCATGGTGGCAACAAAGAGCAAAAGAGCAAATGGGAGTAGTGGCAACAATGGCAACAGAGAGCAAGGCCATCTCCCTTATGTTGTGTTCAGGCCATCTGTCCCAGACCGGAGGTCACACTCATACCCATAATCCCAGTAGCACTCACAGCCATAATCCCAGCAGCAGTCACACCATAATCCCAGCACTGGATAATCACAAACTCTAGAAGCTGCCCCATGACTACATGAGGCTTTGAGGGGACAACTAGACACAAACCATAACATACCACAACAAAACAAATCAACTTTAGGAGAAACTAGGTGACATGTCTCCTAGAATATTAGATTTATCCCTGGACTTGATCATTGCACAGCACAGTTCATATGTCTTTACATTTTCAAAGTGGCATTTGAAAATATCCAGTGAGTTCTTTCACTAATCCTATTAAGAAAAATTCCCTGCACTTTAAAAAATAGTTTTCCCTTACTTATCCTGAGCTAATTATATCTTCTTTTATAGGGCAAGTTAATGATGGCCATAGGCCA